CAGCCATCTCTTTCCCGACAATCCCCTCTGTGCACGAACCCTTACATATGGTAATTAAACATTAAAACACCTGCGGCTTATAGTCCAGTGCGGCTTATATATGTACACATCATTCAATTTAGCTGCTGCGGCTTATATTCAGGTGCGCCTTATAGTCCGAAAATTACGGTAATGTGATATATTATAATATGTTTTGACTTCCAGTTTTGTCATGACATTTTGTGGATTTTTGTATTCTTTAATCTATCGATTTATATATTGGTTATGATTTTATTTACACTTTAGTACAGTTTTTACTTCGAGTACAGCCATATTTTACACATTGCAACTTCAACATTTTCCTCCTGGTAATAAATAAAAATAGGCGATTAACAAATAAGAAAAATAAAAGGCAAATAAAGTCTTCAGTCCAACCTGAGGTTCTTGCACTCGTTACAGAGCAGGGTCAGCAGGTCCCAGGTCAGCCTCTGACCCGCATCCAGGTGACGGCCGGCAAAGTACGCTTTGATTGAGCAGAGCACCACCTGGTCCAGAGCCTCCAGGGCCTTGTCCTGCACCGAGCTTTCAGCGTCCATCACAGCCGGCAGCACGCCCTGCAGCCACGCCTTCTGCACCACGGTGCACTCTGGCTTAGCCTGGTGCTCAGAGCAAAGGACAAAAAACTCTTTAGAATGTGCAACACATTTTCTAAGGTCGTCTCTCTCTATGGCTGCTGGCTGAGACTCACAGCGAGCAGCTCTCCCACACAGGACAGGGCCTTCTTCTTCACGGACACAGCCGGGTCTCTGCAGCACTCCGATAGCTTCTCCAGGTTCTCCCAGATCATGGGGACCACGTTGTGTTTCAGCAGACCCACCAGGGCCTGTGGAGGGAAGGCAAAGCCACAGCGTTAAAGGTCATCTGTGCCTCTCTTTATTTAGCACAGGGATAATGCACAAAAAAACCAGGGTGTAACACATATATAGGATAAGATATTGTACTGATCAATATTGGGATTTGGTAAACTACGTTTCTGATACCTGCAGTGCCGATTTCCTCACGTTAACTTTTGAGTGTTTCACGCGCCGCAGGAGAAGAGCGAGGTTCTCTCTTGCTGCATCAAACATAGCATTTATTTGTTGTCAATGTCAGACTTTGAGTGTATGCATTTACAACCTAATGCATGTTATAATAATCATTTGAATGTGAGCTGAGGATGGATTCTCACCCTCACAGTCGGAGGGTTCAGTGCTGCTGAACTCCACAGTCCTGAACGGCAGAGTGCGGAACGTTTTCTGAGTTGCCTGGGAACTTCCTGAAACAGTCACAGCAAAGTTCATCACATTTTAAAATGTCCTCATTGTATCTTTCTCACACTATCACTGAATGCTTAATCAGCTTGTAAGACTCGCTAACTGACTTTAAAAAACACCCTTTTACAGCTATATGTCCTATAGATAGTTTTGATTTTAGATTGTGAAGTTTTAGCGGCCTTGTGTTTGTTGCCTCAAATGTTACCTTTAGCTGTTATAAGTTATCCTTTTAAAAAAACAAGGCAGACTAAACAAAAAAAGGGTTTCTATCCTGGGAAACACCGTTAGCCTCTGTAGTCAGTCAAATAGGAAAGTGTGTATAAAAAAACAAAAGCGTGTACCTTCTGTGATTTCACCTTCCAGCACTGTCTGGGCTCCAGCTACACAGAGCGAGAGTAGACATGTTACTTTAATGGAAACAGCTCATGGAACAAACACAACAGCTCCTAAAATATACATATGAAAAGATATACAATGTCCTCTTATGTTCCCTAATAATTTAATGAGATGTGTTTTCATACTTCAGTTCTACAAAGTGCATTTTCTGCTAAAACTGGTCCTGGTTTAAAGTCCAACATTAGCCCAATTCTGCACTAGCATTTCAAACTGAAGTGCATCTACAGGCTCATTGTGTGTCCTCACTGGCAGAGAAGAGGTTGTGGACGGCCCGGGTGACATTAGGGGAAGGCAGCTCCAGACACTGGGCCAGGCAGGCAAGGGAGTGTCCTTGAACCGTTGGCGAGTCATCCGTCCGCCGAGCGAACAGCAGACTCTGGATCAGGAACCTGTGTGGCAGAAAGCACTGGAGCTCCAGGTCCTGACACTCCTCCGTCTTCCTCTCTGGCTGCTCCAGCAAAACCATCACCACGTCTATGGAAAACAGCCGACCCGCCACCTACAGGAGCCAGCATAACAGATTAGACACATGCAGAATATTCCTGATAGTGGTAATGAAGCGTGAAGTATATTGAGATTAAAGTGACTTAAAGCCAACTTTAGAAATGAGGAAATCAGCATCTCCTCTATAGGCTTCAAACTGTTGTCTGTCCATGAGCTGAAAGGCTCTGCACTGCGGAAAATAAAACGGCATTTCCAGTTCATTTTTACTCCACTTTACCTTTCCGTTACTATACGTTGTTTTTGTTGTTGTAGCATTGGCTGGAAGAGAACCCGCTTCTCCATAGTTTCTCCTTGGTTAACTGGACTTATAACATTCACACTGTACATTTTATAATGATATTTAAATTGAATATTCCATTCCATGCACACTTATGTACATGATATCCTGCTTATATTGTGTCAACAGAAAATTGGCCCTTCAATAGTGTTTTTATTAGTCAGACAGTTTATACTTTTTTTATCTTCACGGTCATCTGTATATTTTTCTTCCTCTCTAATGCTGGTTTATTTCTATTTCGAGATGTTTATATTTTATTATTGTTATTTCTACTCTTTTAATTTGTTATGATGTGCAATGCCTTGTTTAGTTTTCTGCTGCTGCAACAACAAATATTCCCAAAATTGGATTAATAAAGTACATCTCATCTTATTTATTACCAGTTAGCTGATAATACTGGGTAAACCTAAAAGAGGTTGAAGTATTTCACACTTCAACATCTGCACAATGTTCATAATCTCTCAATGCTTCTGAAAAATGATAAAATCAATTAAACTGCCATTTCAGAAAAACATTTCTCCTATATATCTCAATGAGTGACTATGAAGTAGCCATACTTTTATGTAGTATTTTCCTGAAAAGCTGAAATCATCATGATCAATATCTATAGAGAATATACAGATGTGTAGCGGTTTGAAGCTTCACCTTTGCTTTTCTTGAGAAGTTAAACAGCCACTTGATGAAGCGGGCGTAGTCTGCACTTGTCATCTGTGTGATCAACATGCCCACAGCCTGGGCTCCATGGCTCCTTATCTCACTCTTCTCCACCATCTAAACATCCACAGTAGAAACATGACATCATAGTTATAATCAAGCATCAACTAATAAGAATGAAACAGTGAACCATTCCAGTATAAAACAACATTGGACAGCTGATGCCGCTGTGCCTCCTTTCACATTTCATTAACGTTGCTTTAAGAAGACGCTCAGAGTGAGGATTTATCTCCTTTTTTGGGGGGGNGGGGGGGTTCCTGTTGGCTTAACTCCTCGGTTCTCTCCCTCGCCTCTTCTCTTCTCGCATCTCCCATGGGTAGGATTAAGAAACGAACGAGGAGTGGAGTTGAAGAGTTGAAACAAGATGTGTAAATTCGGAATTGAAAATAAATCTGAACTTTACACAACAGGAAGTGAATGACTGCTGAGTGTTTGCTGGAGGATGTACCTGAAAGCAGATGTGCTGCAGGAGGATTTGCAGGAAAGGCCGCGCCAGCTCTTTTAGGTCCTCCACAAGATGACTGTAATCACAAATAAAGAAATCACATACAAAGTCATTAAGGTTCATAACATGTGTAGAGTTACAGCAAATGGCTAGAAATGTTCCCTAAAAATCCGTCCCGCCTCCACCCACTCTATATTTATTTGTGGAATCTCATGATTATTTGTTCTCCCATTTCGCATGTTTTTTTGCGAGTGGCCCCTGGAATATTTAGTCAGACGTCGGACTTAAGTTTAAAGAACCTCAAGCGTAAGTTGGCCTATGCACTTCAATTATCAGGAAATCCTTCATTTCCTGATCGCCGACACCTTGTCAGGATCGTTTCTTACATTTCTAAGGTCTAGGACTCTCATTTGCTTAAGTACAGACTGATCAGGAATTAAGTTCTTTTAAACATGAATAGCTTTTATGCATTATCTTGGCTAAAACGCATAAATCCAATGTTTTTTTACTATAATATTTGACCACCAAATGTAGAATTTTAGGGCCAAAAATCTTTTTGGGGGATCATGCCACCGGACCATCTAGATTTCTTCGACTTCTTCTGACTGACTTCTATATATTTGTAACCTAAGACTACTGTTTGGAGAGATGCTGATAAATCAGATGGCAGTAAGGATTCTCCAATTTTTCTTTTGCTGAACAAGTGCAATTACACACTAGAAATAAAAGAGAAACTCTGAAACATTTCTTCATACCTCAGTTTATATCCATGATTAAGAGTTCAAACTTTATACATTTCGACATGGATATTCAGTCAAATCGAAAACTGTGCAACTTATTCAAATGGTTGACTACTTTACTTGGTTCATATATAAAATATATGTTTACCAAATAAAGTGGACGGCGTGGTCGCGGGTGGAGAGGATGGCCGGGCTGGGTACGAGTGGGGTGGGCTTCTCTCGGTTGCCTTTTTTCATCATCAGGATGACGTAGTGGAGTTGGTGGAAAACCCTGCGCAGGGACTGCAGAACAGACACTTCAGTTAGATTAGGAACAGCCCTCTGTTATGGCTTTGAACAAAGAGAGAATATGTTCATCTAGCTCAGGGGTCGGCAACCCGCGGCCCACGGGCCGCATGCGGCCCTTTAAGCCCTCTGCTCTGGCTCCCTTGAGCTTAGACAAAAAATAAGAAGGAAATAAAATAAAAGTATTTGTCGGACTATTTATATTTTGTTGCATGGTTGAAAATGTTTCGTATCTTGTATTTTGAGGTGATACTGTGACACATAAATAAAAAACAAAACGGTTTTAATTAGGTCAACTAAAATATGCATCACATCCTGCTACGGTCCCGCGCGAGCGCCTTTTCCTGCGGGTGAATAACCTGACCCCCGGCTCGATGAGCGAACTATGGATAAATCAAAGAAAAGTACCGGAGGAACACAGGATTTAATTCTGTGTGGACAGTTATATGCTTTCACAGCAAACGATGCTGGTTTACCGGTATGT